TTCTTCTTCTTCTTCTTCTTCTTCTTCTTCTTCTTCTTCTTCTTCTTCTTCTTCTTCTTCTTCTTCTTCTTCTTCTTCTTCTTCTTCTTTTCCTTCTTTTTCCTCTTAACCCACTGAGTCCGGTTAGTGCTGGCCATACGTACATGAGTCAGTCTGCTTCCTCTGGACTATGGACAACCTACTAATGACCACATTTCAAAGAAAAGTGTCTCTCAAAATAACATTCACAATGGTAGTTCCTCAGTTAGAGTGGGGGCACCTCAGAAGCCTCTGCCTTTCCGTCTTTAATCTCTAACTCTTGGGGAATCTTTTCTCCAAAATAAACCAGAATGTATGTATTTTTTAAAAATATATAATTATGCAGTTAATCATAGGGATTTTTGTTGTCTTATTTTGTTTTTCTTTTTTCTATCAGGGAACACAGAATTAAAATTTGTCTTTTAAAGAGACACCCAAAAGACAGGTGACAGCTAGGGTCACTGTGTGCAAGACCCTCTTTGTTGTCTGTGTCTCTTAATGTGCAAATGAATGGGCCTGTGTGAACACAGATTGTGTGTAATATTAAAGTCTTTTTGTTGTTTCATTTAAATTTTTCCTCTTCTTGGAACTGGCCTACTGTTAAGGCCTAGACAAGTCTTGTTGTTACATAATTTGTTTCTCCTATGGGCTTTATCTGATACCTTTGATGACAGGATTGTTCTTGGTGTCAGGTTTCATGAGAGGTAGCTGTGGCTGTGGCTAGGGCAGGTTGGTAGAATACACGCCGAGCTCAGTGTGTGTGAACCCGTAAGTTCCTATCCACAGCTCTTTGTAAACCAGGTGTGTTGGTCCACATTTGTAATCTCAGCACTTGGGACATAGAGGCAGGAGGAATAAAAGTTCTAAGTCTCCCTTGGCTATATATCAAGTTTGAGGCTAGCCTGGACTACATGAAACCCTTAAAAAAAAGTTTTGTGAGAGAGCCTTTCAGTTATCTCTTGATGTCACTTTACCCTGGTATTACACGTTTCCCTGTATGGAGAGATGGGACTAAACTAGCTAAACCAGAAAATGTCCTGTTATTGCCCAATATTTTAAGGGAAGGAAAGATCACTTGTTACCTAATAACTTAATTTTCAGACAAATGAGTTTTATAGGCATTCAATTATTCACTTCTTTCTGTTTCTGGAGCTACCACAGAACCACACCCACCTTTCTCTGGCTCACTGATATGACAACGGTGTGCCGCTTGGTCAGTGAAGCCGTGTGTGGCATGCATGCATGACGAACTGTCTGCCCTTGTCTATAAGTCACGAAGGAGAACAAAATTTCCCTTAGATTCCTGCCCGCCTTTTTTTTTTTTTTTTTTTTTTTTTTTTTTTGTAGCTACCAAGGACAAATACAGAAAACATTTCCAGAAGGCATTTCGCTTGAAATTTCCTTGATGCTGCCTCACATTATCAATCTTCCCAGAGGATTCCCCTACCTGAGCCACTGGTGTTCAACCTATAACCCTGTAGACCACAGGCACCCTGAGAGAGCTATGGATAGGAGCCACCACAAAATTGGAAACTTGCTTAAAGTACCAGGAGACCTCATTTCTGTAACTCAGTCACCTCATTTTTAAGCATGGACTATCAGTGTCTGGGTTATACAGAATGACTGAACCAAGAAAAGAGAGCCCTTGCAGGATGAATTTAGGCTCCTCGGTAGCAGCTAGCAGCGGGGATCAGCCTCCGAGGGACTGAACCCTGACTGCTTCTTAGAAGCTCTCTTAATTGTCACAAAAAAAAAAAAGCATCTTTAGCAAGTCAATGTCTGCATACCAAAACTTCTTATCTGATCTAGGGGTTGTCTTGAAAGACCCATCACCTAAGCACTTCTTAGACTTCCTGTTTTGCCCAGCATCTCTGGAGACCAAGTTATACAAAGGCTCCGAGAATCCTTCAAAATATGAACCCAGTAAAATCTCAGATAACAATTGCTGGCAAAAGGTTACTGCAAAGCTTAGGTGTCATCACTCCAGATTCATGCCAGATAATGCTGGTTCTGCTAAAATTCTGCTACAATGAACTTTGTAGATGGTAATGTTACATCACAAGGTTGGCCACGCCCAGAAGTGGTGAGACTTGGCAAGGACAAACTTTGATAATGCATTTGTGTTTCAGAACCATAAACATAGGCCAGATTTGCCATTTGGCCCCATTTAATAGGTGACCCTGAACTTAGAGTTCCGGCTTCTCCTGAGGGACACTTAGGCACGTGTATCTCGGTTGCTTCCATGTGTCGTTTCACTACTAAGAAAGCCCAAAGGTGTGGGTGCTGGGCTGGCTCAGGGACCTGTGGGCGAGGAGCTCACTGACATCACCACAGTCCACTGACTCTTCAGAAGCTGCTCTGAAGTTGACCATTGTCGTGTGACACATGTACCGGTGAGGCCGTGATGGGCCACTGCTGGGTGAAGAGCCAGTGCCTAGGGGAGTGATCAGTGGTGAGGGGTCCAGGACCACCCACAGATCTCCTGTCCCTGCAGGGACATTTCAAAGGAAGAGAAGTTAAATGTGTAGAAGAGAGAATGAATAGAGAAGCAGGCCATTATCCTTGGGGGTGGGGGCGGACAGGGATCCCCATCCATCGGCCCAGGAGAGTCATAGGCTCTGACAGGAATCCAGAAAGGAAGGACCATTTAAAAGACAATAAGGAAACTGTGCCAGGCAGAGCAGTAGGCAGGGGAACCTGGAGAAGGCCGAGGCGAGCTCTGATAAGGCGGAAGGGAGAGGGACAGGAACTTGTCACAGTAAAGAGGATGTGGCACCCACCTCGGTGCCACAAAGGTGGTCACAGCACAGTGTTGGAGAGAGTCCCTTCCCTTGCACAGCTCAGAGGCACAGGGATGAGCCTTGCCCATTAGCTTGTTTGATTTTGGGGCCAGGGCGTCCTGTAGCCCAGGCTAACCTGAAACTCACCACATAGCTGAGAATTACTCTGAACTGATCCTCCTGGCTCTACCTCCCCAGAGCTAGAATTACCATTCCTGCTTAGTCCCTGCTAGGGGTCAAACTCAGGTATTCATGCGTGAGGGGCACGCCCTGCACGGAGTGTTTAAAGAGTTGGGATCTGGGCAGCCCAGACCTTCAGTGAACAGTTGTAAGCGCACACTCATCTTTCAGGCATTTCCACAGTTTTAACTTAGTTCAAATTCTTGTCAGACCAGTTTCTCTCTCTTCAGAAAGTTGAGTAGTTGGTGGTCCCAGATCCCTGGCTTGGTGCCCTCTGCCAAGGATGACTTTGAACTTCTGATCCTCCTGCCACTACCTCCAGAGTGTTAGGATTGGTATGGGCCTACCAAGCCCAGTTTATGTGATGCTGGGAGATGGAATTCTGGCCTTTGTCTGTGTGGTATAAGCACTGCATTTCCAGTATCAAAATGAACCTGCTTATTAAAAAAAAAAAAAAAAGAAGACAGCTGATGAGATGGCCTGTTGATACCTATTTACTCTGCATGGTTAGAAGCATTACGAGAGATGGGAGTGCAAAATGTGGTTTCAGAAGTGTTCTCTCAGTGAGAGGATTTGTAATGCATTATTTGATTGTATGTGTGTTCTCATCTCAGCACTCCACACCCCCAAGTGCTTATGGGTCAGTCAAACCCTACACCAACTTTGACGCAGAGAGAGACGCCCTGAACATCGAGACGGCTGTCAAGACCAAAGGTAGGCCACCCACTCGTCATCTTCTCATGAGCGCGGCCTCACAACCACCTGGGGTTCCAGCTCCAGAGTCTAGGATGCTCTCTTCAGGCACCATATTCTTGTGTGTGAGCATGCGAGCACACAAATCCATATGGTCCACTTTCCTAAAACAACTCCTCTTTCACATTTGGGCATGCCTAGATTCTTGTGGTTTCTCCACATGCTTTTGCAGAAAACACCCCGAAGTTAATCATCAACTCACTTGACAAAGATGGTGTCTCTTACAAGCTTAGCACAAAGGGTGCTTTTTATCCCTGCGTGAGAAAGCTCTCAGCCTACTGGAATATAAAGACTGCACAGATGAACTCTGGCCGCAGCTGAAACTCGCATGCTAATAAAAACACTTCCAGACCTTCCCCGAGTCAGCAGAAAGATACGGTAGTTGCCAAGCAAAGAAAAGTCCTGAGGGTCGAGACATGACTCCCACATTTCTGTGTGGGCAGGAGTGGCTGACACCACCACCACCACCATCCTCAGTCTTCACCAGTATTTATTAGGTGTTCATCATGGGCAGGTATTACATTGAGCCGCTCTGAAGCTTCCGGCTCAGTTGACCTTCAGGTTGATTTCGGCTGTCATGTTGTGCCATTCCCTATTTGCATATGACACGGCTGAGGGTTAGTTAACATGCCTCACGTGTCTTGACTGTGGTTCCTACATAGATTTGAACATAGTTCTGCCCGTCCCCAGCCTGTGTCACAGCACCCAGCTGTTAGGAGTAGATCATTCCTTTGTCTTGACTTAGACCATTTCCAGGCATGAAAACCAGCGAGCAGTCTGATCCTGTTGTCATCGGATACTTGTCACAGTTGTTGTCCAGCATTAGCAAGGGCACCTGTTTCCTGTTTCTTTTATCCCATCCAAGCCCCAGCATTAGTGCTCAGGGTTGCAGCTGGGACCCCTCTGTCATTTGCTTTTTGTGCCCAGTGGTTTTTGTGACTAACAGTTTTCTTAAGTTTGTTGCTCTTTACAGTAAAATATTTAACATGTATTATTTTAAGTGTGTTTTGCAGATGTTTATCTATCAATATTGACAATTTAATGTGCTCATTTATTCACTCTAAGCTAGTCAGTTCTGCAGAAAATGGCAATAAAATAGACTATATTATATGTTATTATGACAGTTACATTTTTTTTTACTCAAAAAGAGAAAAAAAACAAAGGCTGGCATGGGTAGCTGAATTATGAAATTATGAATCATTGATTCTTGCTTTCAATATATTGTCTCTGTGTCTTCCAAATTTTCCATGATTGTTATGTATTGCCGGACAAGCTTATTAAAAACATGCCCCTGCTATTCTAGATAAGCCACACCACTTAGGTAATGAGCTGACAGGAATCTTGAGTGGTTAAAACATTCCGGAACACCTTCACCTCAGCAGCTTCATTAGGAACTAGCTCTATCCTGGCATCAAAGGAAACAGGCTAAACCTTGAGTGTTCACTGAGACACAAACCAGGGGCTGAAGGAAGGCTGCTGCTCCCTAGTAACCATACATCTTATGCAGGGGAGGTGGGCTGGGCTGGTAAGGTGAGCAGGCTAAAAAGCACAAGGAGGGGAGGTTCCAGGAGTCCACTGCCTGGAACTCAATAATTGGCATGAAACCCGAGGACTGGGCATGGGAGGAAGCTTGGTCTGAGGTCAGAGGATCTGGCTCTACCCAGTAACTCCTTTTCATCCCATCTTCCAGTACCTGTGAGAGCGCACCTTTGGACATTATGGTGGCTCCTTTTTTTTTTTTTTTTTTTTTTTTTTAAATGGGCTTCTCTGCTGCTTCTGTTGTTCTAACTACATCTCCTATTCCACACAGAGCTCTTCAGGCAGTGGTTCTCAACCTGTAGGCCTTGACCGCCCACAAGGGGTCGCATATCAGATATCCTGCATATCAGATATTTGCATTACAACGTATAACAGTAGCAAAGTTACAGTTATGAAGTATCAGCGAGATAACTTTATGGTTGGGGGTCACCACAACATGAGGAACTGCATTAAAGGGTCACAGCATTTGGAAGCTGAGAACCACTGCCAAGCAGATGGTGTCTCTACCTTTGCTACTCAAGGGGTGTGTGGCTTTTTCTCCCTAAGAGTTGTCAAGCATGGCTCTACTCCAATGCTCCTCCTTCCCCATCCCCCAGGCATGGTCTTGCAATGTAGCTCAGGCTAGCTTACTCTCTTGATCCTCCTCCTCCTGTCTCCTCATGACTAGGATTACAGCTTTGTAGAGACGATTACCGAATGACTCCTGTGTTCCCACTTCATGCCTCCATCATAGTTTTTGTCACACTGCTATATTCATTAACTTCTAGATCTGTCTCGTCTTAATGTGCTTTTATTTCTTAACCTTTTAAAAATGCCTAGGACCATGAGACAGCGTAAGGAGGTAAAACCCACATAGTATTCAGAAGATGCACAGGCCTTAGGGCACAGAGGGAGCACAGACGCATTTTCGGGATGGGCAGCAAAGATTCGTTACAGAGTTTGGGTGTTGCCCAGAAGAGTGAAGAGTCCCCAAGAGCTTTGATCCACATTCAGCAGATGAATTTAACTCACTCTCTTGATCCAGCCTTGTTTCTGGTCAGAGGGAGGTGGAATATGTCTTCCTTGCAATACCTGCACCCAGAGCGTGGTTGCCACGTGGTTACTCTCTGGCCTGAAGTAGACCGTGCAACACCTTACGTTAATTTGCGTCTAGTTAGAAGCTGAGTTCAGCCATGCAAAAGTAGTAATATTGCTTAATTAACAAGAGGTTTCTGAGGCTTGATCTGTAGGAGTCTCTTGGTCTAGATTGGCCTCGGGTTAAATATATACTCCAAGTGTTCAACACAGCTGGGGATGGTTTACCATATGGGTCCAAATAACTAGAAAGGAAAGTCAGCTAAATTAGAAAAGGATGAATCTCAACTCCATGAAATAGATGGTAATTAGCAGCAGCACGGCCCTGGAGTTAGCGCTGGTGCCAATGAATCGGAGCAGCTTTGGCGCCTGCAGAGGGGAGGGCCCGGAGTTGCTCTATTCTCGCCAGTTTTGATTTGAGCAGTGTTTGTGTTCTCCGGAAGGGTGAGGCCCCTCCTCCCCCCTCCTCACGAGCAAGCCCAACTATAGAAGTGAGTTTCTGCACTTCTTTCCTCTTAAGTTTGAAAATAGAACCTCCTAAGATTCCCCAGCAAGGCTGCAAGGCCACTGTCCTATGCACTGGACGGTGAGGCAGGACAGGCCATTTTGGTTTCACTTGCGCACCTGGAGGTGGGTGCAAGCAGCCCCGTGCAGCAATCACGAGAGTGTACTGTCTGGAGGGCACCAGGGGATTGGGGTGGCAGGGAGAGGAAACCCTGCTGCTGTGGGGCATAGCCCTTGAGGAAGGCCTTCGTAACTCATTGGCCCGGGGCCATCTCATTCTGCTAGAGAGAACCCATCCGCTCTTCCCTTTGCAGAGGCCTCTCTCTTGGAGGTCAGGGTCACTCACTGCCGCGCCAGCCCTCATTTTACAGCTATTCCCAGAGACAGACAAGGCCCGGGAGGGGTCACAGCTGCAGCTGCTTTAAGTCCCCATGGCAGCTTACCCCTCTAAGGGTGCGGTCTGCATAGCAGTGTAGGTATCCAGGCGGCTATGAAACATGGGGGAGGGCCCCAGGGCTCTTTCATTGCTGGCATCAGCCTTCTTTGGCTACCTCTCCTCAGCCCTTTCTTCTTTGTAAGAACTGCCCTTTCTTTTCCACTGAGGAGATCCAAATACCAGTTTCGCCCAGGAACAGCCGAAGAAACTAGATTGTTATCTGGCTTGAGTGAAGGGTGAGTCTGCTGGTTTCTGTAGCAGCTGTTCAGGTTTTTCTTTCCTGTTCCACGAGGTCGTTGGAGTAGCAGGACATAAAAAGGTGCCCGCATTTCACATGTGTTACTCTCCTTCTGATTGGATTTACTTTTCCATGTTTTCCTGCTGGTACTACATGGAATTTTAGAAACACACTAGATTATTCTCTAAGAATTAGAAGAGAGTTTTTTGTTTGTTTTTAAGTGAGTCTCTTGTATTTCAGAACTTGCTATATATCCAAGGATGACTTTAAGTTTCTAGTCCTGGTTTCTACCTCCCAAGTGCTAGGATTACAGGTATGCACCCTGACACCCAGGGTGTGGTGCTACTTCCAAACTCAGGACTTCGTGCATGTAGACTAGCCTTCTACCTACTGAGCTCTGTCCCCAGCTCTGGGCTCCAGATTATGAATGCATCTCATGTTGATAGGCCCTAGGTCCTTTCTAAGAAACTTAGCCGAGGAGACATCAGAACAGAATGGGAACAGAAGTTTGAACTCTGGGCTAAAGACCTTCTTGGGTACTTAGCTGAGCAAGGCTATCCTTGAACTGGGTCCATGTCCCTCAGCTATACAACCTCTGTCAGAAGCTTCATGCTCCTCAGCGCCTACCCTGTGCATACAATACAATTTCTCTCCCAGCACTCTGAGCTTCTATAGTTTACACTGAAACTGAACAGTTAGTCTCATGGGAGCGATTAGCAAACATGGGCCTGTCCTCTCTCTGCCCTGTATTTTCATAGGCCAATAATTGAATCCAGGCAGGGGCTGGGTCAGCGGCAGAGAGGCCGAGGGAAGGACTTGCCTCCTATCATTCGTTCAGTCTTTCTGTGTTCTAGAAGAGTAAATGTCAACAGTGGTCCCTGTTTTACATATGTGAAAGCCGGGTGTGGAGACAGAAGCATTATGCCCCAACTCAGGTCACACAGTCCTGAGTTCCAGCCTCTGCTGCTGCCTTTGCAGAGGCCTCCTGTCAAAGTACACCCCCCCTACACACACACAAAACAAAAAAAGCAATTAAGGGGGAGAAGCTTTATTCTGGCTCACAAACGGAGCACATAGTTCGCCATGGTGAGGAAGGTATGGCAGCGGGAGTGTAGGGTAGCTTCACTAGCATCCACAGCTGCGAAGCAGGAAGAGGTGAGCGCTGGCGCTCAGCTGGCTCTCTCCGTGCTACACAGCCCAGGCCTACAGGATGCTCCTGCCCACAGTGGCCATGGGCCTCCCATCTCAGTCAGCCCTCTCTCAGCCGTCCTTCACAGTCATGCCTAGACATTTGTCTCCTGGGTGATTTTAGATCTTGTCAGGTTGGTAATATTAACTGTCATGGTAACCGTGGGTCCCTGGCCCAGTCCTCTGTTGGGCATACTTCAGACACTATCGTAATGACAGATGGTTTCTTCTAAGCCCAAAATACCAAGATATCGGGCAACCCGAGCTGTAGTCCCAACGCCCCCCCCCTCCCAAACAGATAAGGCAAATTTCCTTTCCCTTCCAACCAGACAGCTCCCGCCCTGAGGCCTCTTGAGCCCTCCTCAGACAAATGAAATCCACTCTCTGTGCAGTCAGCATGTCTCTCTGCCGCTGTGAGTCAGCATCCTGTTCCAAACGGTTCTTGGTTCCTTGCCACGGACAGTGGAGACACGCACTTTCCGTGGAATGCTGGAGTACAGAGCAGACTTGGAATTTCAACCCACAGAGAGGAGGAGGGCTGGGGGCCAGCTTTGGGGGTTTGGATTCAGCCAACACTTGAAACTTTTTAGTTCTTGAAAAAGGTGGTGGGTGGTTGAAAAGACCCAGACACCCCCCCCCCTCTCCAGTCACCCGCTGGAGCCCAGCTGTCAGCCATGCCTTCTTAGAGCTGTTAATTAGCAAAGCCCTTCTTCAGGTGGCTGGAACTTACAACAATGGCTGACCACTCCCATGTTCTTAGTTGGAAAGTTGAGAATATGTGGACAATTAGATCTAGCTAACCATTTCCATCCAAGGAAAATGTACTTAACCTTGAGCCTGTAGCCATGTGCTATCTTCTCACCCAGAGCCAAATGTATGCATCTTTTTCAGCCATATGCAGCTTCAACTTCAGTAGGGTTTCTGTCTCTTTGATAAAGTTTTAAAAGATCACCTGAGCGGGGCTCAAAGATCACCTGAGTGGGGCTCAGTGGTTAAGAAAGCTTACTGCCCTTGCAGAGGACCCAAGTTTGGTTCCTGATACCCCCGTCAAGCTGTTCACAACTCCTGCTCTGGCTGCTGGAGCTCCAAAAGCTTTCATCTAGCCCACCATTTCTTCTAGATTCCAGACTCTTTTCCCAAGCCCGATCCTTCCTGGTGTGAAGTGAGACCTTTGAAAGAACCCGTTCCAGGGACATGCAGCCTTTTTCTCTAGGCTTCTGGAACTCAACCTTGAGAAAGCACCTGGCCGTCAGTATTGATTGCAGTGACCACCTAGGTGGCTGAGTTTGGGCCACCTCCATTGATCTCTGCAGCTTTAACCCATGCTGAATGGTTTCTCACAGGAATAAACTGTTTCACCCACTGGGGCATCAGGTCAAGGAGAAGCAACGGTGGTCTAACGATAATATCATCCATGGATAGTCCAGTGTCTCAGCAAGGCTATGCCTTACGTGCCTTGAGCTAGATTTGTGGCCTTCTTGAGGTCAGCTTGAGACACACAGGCAATGTGTCCTGTGACACAGCAGTGATTCAGATGAGGGTTCAGGGTCTGGGGCTGCCCACTTATTGACAGTCTCCATTCAGTTTCCCTTCAGTGACTGGTATTAGCATGGGTATTCACTTGCAGAGTGCCAGCAGGTTAGACCCTGCATCTCAGCAGTCTGCTTGCTTGGTAAATAATGTAGGAAAGATATCCTTCTATTCCTTTGGACTGTGGCTGGTGCTGCCTCCTAGATGAGGCCCATGCCCCTTCCAGGGGGTTCCCGAAGAGTAGACTGAACTCCAGTTCAGCTAACTGGATCTAGGGCCGCTGAAACAAATGTGGGATACTCTTGTGTTGGCTGGAAGCTGGGGGTCATAGTTTGTGCTTGAAAGCCTTGCTGTATGACTTAGGCTGACTCCAAACCTGCAATTCTCCTGCATCAGCCTCCTAAGTGTGAGGTTATAGATCCTGCTCAGTGTCTTCTGAACCATGGTGACTGGTTGATTCTAGTTCAAGGACTGGGCAGTTGCCACCATCTATTCCAACCTTTCCCCTCCCCCCTTTATGGCCTTCATGATGAATTTTTCTAGTCACCTCACCCTCAGATAATCACTGATAAGACTTTGATAAATATGATTCCAGATACAGTCTCTCACACAGATACATATTCTCTTTTGTTGTTGCTGGGGTTTTTTGTTTTTTGTTTTTTGGTTTTTTTGTTTTTTTTTTTTTTGGTTTTAGAGACAAGGTTACCTCTCTGTTGCCCTGGTTGTCTTGGAACTCACTCTATAGACCAGGTTGTCCTCAGCCTCACAGAGATCTGTCTGCCTCTGCCTCCCAAGTGCTGGGATTAAAGACATGCACCACCACCACCCAGCCCTAAAAGAGTATTCAATCAGCCCCTTATGGGACATACAAGGGTGACATTAGCATCTGCAGAGCCTACCCAGGGTCTAGCAATAGGGCTTCTTTACACTCACTACTCTAAAATCTAAGTTATAGGCATTTGTGAATGTGTCAGTATGTTTATTGGTGTGATGTCACTTTAAAATGAGTATATAAAAATGTTAAACCATCTTTATTCTTATGCCCAGAAATCCTAACTTTCTAAATGCGCGTGAAGTATCTCTTTTCATTGTTTTGGCCTCAAACATCACTCCTCTGTGCTCTTACTGCTTCGATGCTTCTGACTGTAAGACACGCTGTGTGCACTCTGTAAGTGACCTTGTGTGCTCAGAGACTCCAGAATTACCTTCCCAGTTACGGCAAAGTCTTTCTATTTTATTAAACACAGTTCATAGTCGGGCAGGAGAAAGCCCTCTCGCCACCTGAATCCTCAAAGCAGAGCTCTCCCGAGTTAAATGACATGTGAGGAATAATTCTGAGAGAAAATGGGAAACTTTCAGACACTACTAGGCCTCGCTTATCTTTGTATATACACATGTTCCAATTAAAATGGGCACTGAAACATTTGGGTGGCACTTCAAAACTCCCAATTTAGATTTAATTTAGATTAAAACACTTACTCTTTTTTAATACAGTTGTAAAATTGATTATTAAAGTCACCTATTGAAGATTGAAAGCACAGGATGTGTATTTTCCTTGTGAGACAATCTCGTCTTCAATAAGTGTGGTTCTATTAATCAATTAGCTATTAAAACATAACTGCCATATTAAGCCTGACTCATTTGTCATGACAGCTGGTATGATTATAAAAATTACACCTAGCCATTTATACAGCCGTAATCTTGCAATAAATATAAATAATTGTCTTTATTAATTCATTCTGAAGTTTCTGCCTATTAATTCTCCAGTTAACTGGCATTTTGAGGACCTTCCGTTAAACTCCTCTGAAGTCTTTATTATTCGTTCTGTCTGACTACCAGCATTCCACACACATGCACCTTCCACTGTTGATTTTGGAAACCAGTTCATGAATAAAATAGCTTTTTAAGTGCAATCTTTGAAGGGTTGAGGCTGGAGGTCTAAGGCTTTCTGGGAAAGAGGGAAATGAGGGTGTCTGTGTTGGGTTGGGAAGAGGGAAGAGCTGGCTGTGACAGCCTATTGTTGAATTTGGAAAAGAATATATGGATGTAAAGTCTCAGAGTGTGTGGTGGGGTAACTGTTCACAACCTCGTTCTCCACAGGAGTGGACGAGGTCACCATCGTCAACATCCTGACGAACCGCAGCAATGCGCAGAGGCAGGACATTGCTTTCGCCTATCAGAGAAGGACCAAAAAGGTACTGGGATCTTAGGGTGGAGGGCAGGCCTTGCCGAACCGATGTGCTCAGATATTGCCTGTTCATTAATAAGTGTGTGTGTCCGTCCCTTGTTTATGTTGACCTGCATTCCCCAAGGTGGCAGGCCCTGAAGCATCCTTGTGATTCAGTGCTGGGGAGTCTAAACAGGAGGATTCCTGGGCCCCCTGGACAACCAGACTTGCTAATTCAGAGAGCTCTGAGTCTTCGCCTCCCATCTTGTCACGGAAATGTTGGCGTTAGAGATGTGTGCTACCACATCTGGCCTTCTTACATCTAGCATCCATTACCTGCTGAGCCATTCCCCAACCCCTGTCCAACAGTACTTTTTCTTTTTGTGAGTTGTGGCCCTTCTTTCACGGAAAAGAGCCTTCTGGAACCCTTGAATGCCCAAGGTTCCCTCTTATGTCCTTGTGAGAGTTGCTACTCACACATGTGGGAGCTGGAAGATAAAGGCAACACCCGGAGCATGTGAGCTCTGGAACAGGCCACGGCATGCACCCCTCATTATGTGCTTCCGTGTGTTGGGTACTGTGCTCAGTACTTTAGAGGGAGCAGCTTGCCTCCTCTGATGGCTTCTCATGCTTCTCCATCAGATGTTTTGAACTTAGTTTTAGGATAGTTTCCTCCACTGGGCAAGAATCCTAACAGGTTCTTTTCCCTTGCCCCGAGGGGCTTCGGAGACAGCTTAGTTGGTAAAGCGCTTGTCACACAAGCGTGAGGACCTGGGTTCAATCCCCAGCGTCCATGTAAAACAAGCTAAGTCGGTGTGAGCGCAGCGCTGGCGAGTCTAAACAGGCGGATTCCAGATTCCCAGGCTCTCAGTTCAGTGAGAGACCCTGTCTCAAAAATTAGATGGAGCTCAATTGAGGAAAGAAGCAAACATCAACCTCTACATGTAAACACATGTATGCACATGAACATATATACCCCCCACACACGTTTTCTTTCTTCAAATTGTTGCAGGCTTGGGCTTGCCTGAAGCTTGCCTGAAGTCCACCTTGCTATCCTCAGCAGCCTCCCTATTTAGGGAGTGTTTGTGGTTTTTTTTTTTTTTCCTTTGCTGGTCTACTGGTGGTTAAAAGCAGCCCCCCCCCCATTTCTTCACCTTGTTTTGACACAGCTGTAGGAAATTTTATTTTTAAGGATGTGCTACTTAGTTTTTAACTTTTTGATATTAAAAGCTCTCAATTTATTCTCGGACGGGGCCATCAGGGTGGTTTCATCCAGCTCCCGACTGACTGGAGGCTTCCAGCCCCAGTGGAGGGGACCTGAAAGGATGCCGGGAGAGACTCTGTGTTCCTGGAGGTGACGTGACCACCAGGTCCTGGGAGTTACAGGTCAAGCCTGGCTGTAGCTCCCTGCTCCTTGCTCTGAAGTGGTTGGAAAGGACATAAATGGGAAAGCAGCTGGCTCCCTTCATCCCATGTGCATTAAAATCCTTTCTTCTCTAGACTTGTATTAATCTTCCTCAGGGAGGCACAGAAGGGAGGGTTTTATGTCTCTAGCTTTCCCAGAGGATCTGAGAGCTGGGAGAGCCAAGTTCCTGTGGGAACAGGAGGAGCAGCACTTTGGACAGTAGGGTACAACTGCTCATTCAGCGTGGTCTCAGAACTGGGCATGCATACAAACAGAGCGTGATTCCACGTTAGATAGCTGGAGAGCACAGAGCCTTCATAGCCTGTTGGAGTAAAGATATTATCAGAGTTTCGAGAAGGGTCAACAGATACACATATGGCCATGTGCTAGGGACAGTCTGCTGCCCTGATGACTCTTGATGGCCCAGGATGATTGCCACAGAGAGACGCTACAATTGCTTGAGGTAATTTCTGAAGGACAGGTCCTAGCAGGTGCATTGGTTGTCAAGATGTAGCCTAGAGCCGTGATTTTCAATCTGTGGGTCTGACTCCTTTGGGGGGGGGGTCTTTTCACAGGGGTCACCTAAGACCATTGGGAAAACACAGATATTTATATTATGATTCACAACAGTAGCAAAGTTACAATTATGAAGTAGCAACAAAAATAATTTTGTGGTTGGGGCCAGCACAACATGAGAAACTGCGTGCGTTAAAGGATTGCAGCATCAGGAAGGTTGAGTACCACTGATCTGGAGGGATACAGACCGACCCTGCCCGGGCAGTGAGCTGCAGATCCTAGTGCAGCTAGTAAAAGCAGGCCTCGAGGAGGAAGGAAATCTGGGTTTTATGCTTCACACAATTCAAACCAGTGCTAAACGTGAGGTCTCTCTATGTGGAGAACGACTGTTCTTTTGTTAATCCCTTCTGGGGGTGTTTTTTTGACCCAAGTCCTAGATTGGACATTCTGAGCCATGGAAGTCAAAGTGGAAAAATCCAGTAGGTGCCCAGAATGTCCTTTGAGGTTAGAGCAGAGATGGTGGTGGGGAGTGTGAAGGGTGGACAGACTAAGCTGGAAATCACTTAACCTCAGGGTTCCAATTTGGAAAGCTGGTGTTATAATTGGGATGTGTTGTTTTGGAAAGATTCTCCTACATCTCATGCCTGTTTCGGACATCAGAAGCCAGAGAAAGAAGGTGAATGGGCTGTTCTGAGTGCTTCTTCAGGGTCACATCAGTGCTGACATTTGTGACACCTGTGAGCTCTAGAAGAGCGTCTCTAAAGCAGATTGCATGTCGCCTTTCCAGGCAGGGACAGCTGGATCCTAGAAATGATCAGCCAGCTAGCCTACAGGTCCAATGAAAGACCCTTTCTCAAACAGAAATTGGGAGAGAACCTGAGGAATGATACCTAAGTTTGTCCTTGTGTCCTTTACACACGTGCATTTTCACACATGCCCACACGTGCACATAACACACACACACACACACACACACACACACACACACGAGAAACAATTGCAGCTCAGTTCAACTGTAGCCCAGTCCCAGTCCCTACCCATGGCTGGTATGAGTCCAGTCATGGAGGAAACGTCTTTAAGAGCTACCCTGAATTAAAGACATCTGTCTATTGCATACGTGAGTGCTGCCTTAGACCTCTGACTTTATTAAAACCATGTATTCACAATGTTAGGAGCCTCCCCGAAGAAATATATTCACCAGGAAGCCAAAAGGGGGCTCTGAGGGACTAGAGTCCACATCTTATTCATTGGGGCCACCCTGATTTGGAGGAGGCGATGGCTCGTTGTGAGGGGCGATGCTTTGCACAGGGAAGGTTCGGCATCACTCCCAGCCCTGCTAGAGGCGTCTACCTCCTTCCTCAGGATACGTAGAGGCCCCACCGTAGATGCCTTCCTTGGGATCTCAGAAGGACTGAGGAGGACTCTGGAGGACTCCCTTGTTCTACCTCACTTCATTTTTATCTTTACTTTGACCTTGAAAAGTGCCCTGTCTCCCACAGGGTGTCCCTGCTGTAACCCGAAGTTCCACTCTTAGTTCTCTCTCTCTCTCTCTCTCTCTCTCTCTCTCTCTCTCTCTCTCTCTGGGAAGTATGCTACACTGCTTTCTGTCTAGTGGCCAGCCTGGATGTTAATGGGTGTAGTTAGCATGTGGTTCCTGCCCTCCTGTGGGATGAAGGGAATGGAAAGGAGGAAGCTCTCCCCAGACCACAGACCAGTCAAAGACTCACAGCCTGCCCTTTAGACAGAGCCATCTCATTTCCGACTCACTGGTTTTAGAGTGGATATTGGTCACAAGTGTGGCTCTTAACACATCTCCATTTTTGCAGGAGCTACCGTCAGCGCTGAAGTCAGCCTTATCTGGCCACCTGGAGACGGTGATTTTGGGCCTATTGAAGACACCTGCCCAGTACGATGCTTCTGAACTGAAAGCTTCCATGAAGGTAAACACATGTGGGATGTCATCTGTCAGCCTGCCCATTAATGTTTGGGAATTACAGCCTTTTGAGTGTAATTAGGTGATTGTCAGTTGTGTTGAATTCTTATTTGAAGTCATTTCCATCCCCCCCCCCCCAACCAATGCTATAAGTTGTCAGGATTTGAACCAAAAATATTTCAATCTCTCCCTTTAAAGACTGCAAAGAAATTTCCTGATGCTGAGAAGCCAGTTAGCAGCTGCTCAGTCTCGGCACCTGGGCGATTGGAATGCCTTTTGGGAAAACTGCTTCCCTGATTACACTTCCTCTTTAAGGAGGATATGTGTGGTCTTAAGGAGAAAGAGAAACAGCTTTTGTTCAGCAAAGCTTGCAGATTCCGCCCATGCCCTCCTGGCTGCTGCTTTCTCAGACTCTCCTCACCCCACTCCCCATCCAGTCCTGGGCCAAATTTCTGATCTGGTTCAAAAATCAGCAGTGTAGTGCAGGTGGGGCCGACTGCAGGTTGGAAATGGCACCTGGATTCGATGGGACGTTTCCTCAAGACATGATACGGCTATCTAAGTTTTGATTTTACAGGGTTATTTTGAACATGGGATTTGAGGTTAAATTAGCAAATTCTAGCTTAGAAGCACCTTTGGATTTTGTGGCCAGCTAAGCTACACAATATTACTTAAATGCAAGAGATAAAGAAATGTCCGGACGCGGCAAAGCTCAGAGCCACTTTTCTGTGTGCTTGTGGCACGTTGGCCAATCGGATGCTGCCCTCTGCTGGTGCAGGTTGGTAAGGCATCTGCAGTTAGGAGAAGCCGTGTGTCACACACAACACAGGCTGTCACCCTTTCTCCAGAACACACTGGGAATGAGTGTGTTCCCCTTCACGCACAGGGTGTCACCACAGCCACTGCGGGACCTGTTAGACCTCTGTTTCTTTAGTTCTTCAGCGTAGTTCAAACGGCACTGGGTGTATTGGGGCAGGCTTGTGTCGAGTGTCCTAGGCAGGCTGTACTGCAGGGGAGATAGCAAGAAGACTGGTGCCGGGTCAAAGTAGGAATGGGGTGCAGGCTAATAACCCCACTCCAGAGGTGGAAGCAGGGGGGATGGAAATTCAGACTTCTTTGGCCACATGAGACCTTGTCTAAAAAAGAAAGAAGAAGTAAAGGAAGGAAAGAAGAAAGAAAGAGAGAAAAAAGAAAGGAAGGAAGAAGGGAAGGAAAGAAGAAAGAAAGAAAGAAAGAAAGAAAGAAAGAAAGAAAGAAAGAAAGAAAGAAAGAAAGAAAGAAAGGAAGGAAGGAAGGAAGGAAGGAAGGAAGGAAGGAAGGAAGGAAAAAGAAAGAAAGAAAGGAAGGAAGAAAGAAAGGAAAGAAAAAAGAAAGAAGGAAGAAAGAAAAGAAGAAAGAAAGAAAGAAAAAGAATAAAAGTAGTTTCATGTCAACACAGCTTGATGACGGAAACATACTGGAGATTAGCACCACTGGGGCCATGTGTGAGCCAATTTTTTTTCCTGGGTTTCTTTAACTATCAACATTTAGATCGGTTCATCTTATTTTTGTGAGGAATCTACTTAGCTGTGATTCAAGTGATTTCACTGGTATCTATTATTAGGTATTATTGACTTGAAGCAGGCCTGTGTGAGCTGCCAGTCACTCCACTAATCTTGAGGAACTGAACCCAGCGAAAGGTGCTTTAACTGTGCCATCTTTGACCTGACGCCAGCTCTTCCATTAGCTATCACGGTTGGGTGACCCTTCTGAAATACACAAATCTTGAGGCGATGTTAACAAAAATGATGCCTTCTTAAAAAAAAAAAAAAATCGGTTTTCACTTCGGACAACACCAGTGGCAGTGTCTTGCTGCATGTCACAGGAGAAGTCGCTTTTGTGATAAGAATCGTGGGGAAGCTGTGGAAGGCTTGGGGAAATTTTAGAAATTGCCAAGGTCACCTTTGAAAGCAGAGATAAGACCCTATTAGAATTGTCGGCTCTGCGGGTGATGGAAGGAGGGCTGGTGTGCTCCTCTCACTTTCCTCCGGGCACAGAACTTAGTGCCGCCCTACATCTCTGTCACCTTTGAAGAAAACTGCCTCTCTCTGGAGATATTCTAAGATGCTCCATGGTCCTCTCAGAACACCCCTTCAGAGACTCAGAGTGCTGCAACAGGGGAAGAATTGGGGAGGGGCTGTTGGAACCTGTGAAAAATCATGGTTAAAAATCTCTGCGAGAAGAGTACGAGATTAGATTAAGACTAAAATTCAAAATTAACCGTTAACCCGGGGCTTAGCTTAGATTATGCAAGGCACATTTTTAAAGGGGCATATACACTCTAATAAGTTTAATTAATAGCTGACACACTTTTCATGTGGATAAGTCTCTTTCTTATTGTATTAACACCTTATAATTGATTTACATTTTAAACAGTTGTAATTCTACTTAGTTCAAAGTGGTACCTCTCTATTCTCGTACTGGAGGACCCTGGTTATTAAGTCTCGACTTTGATCAGGAAGCCAGCTTTGAAATACATGTTTCACTGAGTCGTTTCAAGCTCTCCAGCATGCTCAAAAGTGTACATATCCAACCCGAATATCTCACTCTTTAAACTCTCACTTCCTAATAAAGTGCTGGCATCTAGGCTTATTTGGCACTTTTGTTATTTCCTTTTCCTTCACTAAAATACTTCCAAAGTGCAGAGTAATCAAGCAAAAATGGAAGTAGCAGGATGCATTTTTTTCTTTAGACATTAAGCCATTTTTGAGTTTCAAAGAAGAGAGGCTAATTTTTATCCCAACAGCACCTTTCTCTGCTAAGTAGGTGCTCTAATCTCCAGCAGCTGCCTGACAGTGGCCACATACCATTTCTTATGCGATGAAGACAACTATTTCCTGTGTATTAAAAGAGCGGGTGTCAGTGGTAGAAACTAACCAGACAAACAGCAGGCAGGAGTCCCGCAGCCTCCTCCAGCACTGAGAGATAGTCTAAGGCTGTCTCTTCTCAGTCACTTTTTAAACGTAGTTGAACAGAGACCTGCCACTTATACCATCTTGGGATGTGGCGATGTGACCAAAAAACCAGCCTTATTTAGTGCTTAAGGAGCAGAGCACAGGCTCCTCGGGAGGGCTTTAGCAAGGAGAGAGAAGGGAGCTTTGTGCTTGCAGTGATGGAGGCCAGTGGGGTAGGCTAAGGGGAGGAAGGCTGCTCACGTCTGGGCCTCTTGCTTCGCAGGGCCTGGGGACTGATGAGGACTCCCTCATCGAGATCATCTGCTCAAGAACCAACCAGGAGCTGCAGGAGATTAACAGAGTGTATAAGGAAAGTGAGTGGCCTGTTCTTGACATCCATCCTTTCAGCCCAGATACTTTGCCCTTTGTGATCATGAGTGAGTGTGCATGCGTGCTTGCGTGTGTGTGTGTGTGTGTGTGTGTGTGTGTGTGTGTGTGTGTGAATGCCATGCATGAGTATGAAGATAAGGGTCAACCTCAGGTATTATTTTCAGGAGCCATCCACCTTCTTTTTCGACAAGCCTTTCGCTAAACCTGGAGCTCACCGATTAGGCTAGGCTGGCTGGCCAGCGAGATCCAGGGGTGCCCCGGTGTCTGCCTCCCCGCCGCTGGGATTACAAGCACACAGTTGCCACGTTATGTAAACTTAGAGAAGTCCGAGGACAGCCCCCAAAGCAGCTGATGCTATCCTGCTACTGTCAGGGGTCCAGAGGATAGAACTCAGGTCATCAGGTGTGGCCGGCCCTTTTAACACTGAGCCACCTCACCAGCCTGGGAAACGGTATGTTAATTAGAAAAGAGGTGGCTGATTAAGGAGGGCCCTAGCACTTCCGGTTGGATTTAGACCTGTCTGTCTGTTGGCACTGACGCTCACCCCAGCTCTGATCTCGTGGGAGTGAACATTCCTCTAGAGACTTCATCCTCAGTTGGCGACTCAGGAATAGGGCTCTTTCCACACTAACACAACAGTGCCTACTTTTTGAAGCCTGGTAGGTGACAGATAGTTGGGGTGGATTGCATATACCAGCGGGAAACATCAAGCCAGATGCGTTGTCTCCTCAGTGTACAAGACAGATCTGGAGAAGGACATCATTTCTGACACATCTGGCGACTTCCGAAAGCTGATGGTTGCCCTTGCAAAGGTTGGTCTCTCTCTCTCTTTCCTCTCCCCCCTCCTTTGCTTTCTTCCTCGGCAGGCACAGCTCCTTCTCTACTGGGGAGGGAATTAACTAAATCCGTTGCATTCCTGTCGCTGCAGAGTTGTCATATTTGTTAATAGGATTTCTTATCCTGCAGAACCGTGTGGACAACTGGACTCTGGGGCTGGGGTGGGAGGTGGGCAGCTCCCAAGTTCTGGCCTGGATTTCTGTGCTAACCTGCACTGAGTGACTTTAAGGAAGGTCACATTGCCTCTATCTGTGGCCACACCATACCCATTAAAGTGACCTTATTTCTTCTACCTTTTACTTTGTGTGTGTGTGTGTACAAATGTTGCCTTCATATTCCTTTGGAATGTGTGTAGGTCTTTGTGGGCTCTTTCGCTAATGTTAGCACATTAAGGTGTGTCTCCCAGGAATCTAGTTCTGGCTCCCTGGCACCTGGACGCCTGCCTGTCAAGGGAAGGGGACTCTTCTCTCAGGGAGCCCTGTGGCAAATGACTGAGGCTTGCGCTGCAGCCTGGCTCACCTTCACCTCCATGACTCTCCTGTCTTCATTTGCCCCTCTCTGGGCACCACAGTCTCGGGGTCTTTTTAGAATCCACTGGCATCATTTTGCTTCTTTGACTAAAACCCATTGCCGCTGCACCCTTCCAGAAAGCCCCACCTCCCTCACCCGGGGCCCGTCAGTCCTCATCTTCATCACTGTGATTCTGTCCTTCTGCTCTGTGATCCCCCTGGGCGGCGTGTCACTCACCTGTAGGCCTGTTCCACTTTTGCCTGTCTCGTGCAGTGTCCCACCCCGCCACCATGCCACTGGCCCCCGAGGGTTTAGCTCAGGTCCCATCCTGTTATTCCTGACTGAGCTTCCTGTTTACTTCAAGAGTTTTCCCGTTGTTTGCACGTCACGTCGCCATGGCACTCTCAGCCGCCATGAGTGTCAGCACTATGCACAGTTTGAGGGAAGAGCCTTAAAGAGCTTCGGCTTCTCTGCGGTGTGGGTCAGGGAATCCTGTAAGATGCTTACTCAGTGCTGGGTACCCAGGGATGGCTAATGATGGTGAGACACAGTGCGCCCACTTCCTTCACTGACCGTTTTCTCTCTTCCTTGTCCTGGTGTAAATTAACATGTGAAAAATTGTAGGTGGTGTTTGTTTAGGAATGAAGCTATGGCTCACCTCAGTTGGAGGGGAAACACCTCAAGTTTCATAATGTACTAAGAGCTAGGTCTGACGGTCCCTCTTGTTCTTTCCCTGTAGGGCAGACGAGCAGAAGATGGTTCAGTCATTGACTACGAACTGATTGACCAAGATGCCCGGGTATGTGCCAAGCTTCTTGGCTGAAGTTTACATGGTGTGTGCATTTGCAGGGAAGGGGTGGGGGGGAAGCATTGTATCCCACACGACCATTTCTTTATATACAGCGAATAACCTCAGAGTAACATTTGTTATCGCTTTGATTGTCTGGGTAGGGATGGTGACTGGGTTGACCAGATGGTTCTGGCTCAAGGCCTTTCATTTGGTTGTAGACAAGTGGTTGGTTAGAGCTGCAATTACTGAGAGTGCGGCTGGGTCAAAGGGATCTTCCCTGTGTGGCTCATGTGTGACTTACTGCTGGCCAGAGATGTTGGTGTTCCTCCACATGGGCCTCCACCAGGACAACGTCCTAACAACATGGCGGCTGGCTTTCCTAGAGCGAGTGACCCCAGACGCCCTCGTGCTTTTATGGCCCAGTCCCAAATGTCATGCTGGCACTACTGTCATACTCTGATCATTAGAAGTGAGTCCATGGGTCCAGCCCACCTCACAGTCGTGGGAGAGGTATGGCTAAGTAATGTCCCTTACAAGGGAGTAATGGCACCTTTTAAGCCTCAACCCATCTGAGAAGATGAGGTTTGTTTCTACTTGCTGGGACCCAGACTTGTAATGCTGGAGTTAATTAGCCATGTGTACCCGGCTCCTGCTGGCTCATTCAGGCTTTGGTTGATTGGAAGTTAGGCCCTGACAGTAAGCTAGTGGAGAAGCTGGGCTAAACAGCGTAGGGACAACCAGGATAGCAAGGCTCTCTGCTCCACTCAGTGGGGACAGAGGAGGTGACAGAGGCCTGCCACTTCCTCGTAAACCTGATTTAGATAGCTGTGAGGTAGGTATGCCTCACCTAGAGGGTCAGCTGTTGGGTTATCTCAAAGCATGTCACAAACGCTGCAGACAAAATCAGGTGCCTCAGTCTTAAAATCCTATGTAGTTCTGGGTATGAGAGAACGATTTCTAATAAGTGCTAGAAGTGGGCTTTGTGCTCAGTGTGACCCCCAAGAAGCCCAGGAGTTGAAGCACGCCTACTCTAAGATGTTCTGTGTGGGCTGGCATGTTCACATGCTGCTCGGAATGGACTTTGGAGTAACGCTTGCTCAGGGTCGTGTGAGTAACTTCCCGGTTGGCTGCATCTCTCACAGGATCTCTATGATGCTGGGGTGAAGAGGAAAGGAACTGACGTTCCCAAGTGGATCAGCATCATGACTGAGCGCAGCGTGTGCCACCTCCAGAAAGGTGGGTGCTGTGGTGCCAGGGAGGCCTCAGTGCCCGGGGGCTCTCAGGTGGCACAGGTGAACAAGGCTCACTCTCTACGAGGCTCTCTGTTTCCTTTATCATTTGGCTGCCTTTCTCGTTCTGGAACCTCTGTCCCCAGATATGTTCTATATTTGGTGTGTTAGCTTGTTTCACCCCGTATGTGTGTGGAAGTGTACATGTGTGTGCATAGTTAAATGGGTGCACATATGTGTGGAGTGCGTGTAGGAGCCAGAGGTCAACCTCAGGTGTCACACCTTTCACCCTGGGTTTTTTGTTTGAGACTCATTGGCCTTGAGTTCAACAACTAGGCTAGGCAGGCTGGCCAGAGAGCCGCCATCTACCTGCCTAGGCCTTCTTAGCACTGGGATTGCAATCACATAACCCCAAACTTGGCTTTGTTTTTTTTTTCAACATGAGTTTCATTCTTCATGCTTGCAAGACAAGCATGTTGCCAACTGAGCCATCTCCCTAGCCCTGGCTTATTCCCCTTCTTGTTAGAGGAGCCTTTGCTCTTGCTGTGTCTGTTGAAGTAGAGGACATGACCTGCTGGCTCTGTACTGTTTCTCACGACATCCAGGTAGATGGGTTCCAGTTAGAGAGGATGATGATGGCCATGTTATGCGGCCTAGACAGAGCCATTAAGGACAGGAGCTAGATCTGGGTCCACTGGCAAGACAAGTACAAATCAGGTCTGGTCTGCCAGGGTAACCTCCAACCCCTGGATGGCATCTGTGATCACCTTTGCTTGTTGCTGGTTTTCTTTATTATTATTATTATTATTTAATTATGGTGTGTAATTACATAGGTCATCGGTACAGCTTTAACTAGCCCTTCTGATAGTGTTTATTGCTTTTCTTAGTGTTTGAAAGGTACAAGAGCTACAGCCCTTATGACATGCTGGAGAGCATCAAGAAGGAAGTCAAAGGAGACTTGGAAAACGCCTTCCTGAACCTGGGTAAGCAGGTGTGGCCCTTTATCCCTGGCAGGGAGGTCAGAGGCAGGAGGAGCCAGTGGCTAGCTCTTTACTGCCAGGCCACTTGGGAAGTGCGGCAGCTTTTCTGCATGCCGTGGGGGGTTTTAGGGTTGTAGGTTTAAAGATGTGAAACTGCGGATGGCCTTAAGTCAGCAGAGCTGAGAGTTGCTAGCTCCTAAGGCAGCTGGAGAGGAGAGGGCTGTGATGGGGACGCGCCACGGGGTCATCACTGACCTCCACCCCCCCCCTCATGATTGAAAATACCACAGTGGGCAGAACCTAGTGGCTCCCAGGAGTCTGAGTTTTCCTTATATCTACACCCTGCGTCTGTATGACAGGCCCATTCTGGTCAGTGTCTGAGGGCCAGGGCATCATCTTCCTCATTTCAAGAAAAGGCAAGCAGCCTCATTCTGACCTGTGTCTTCTTTCCACAGTCCAGTGCATACAGAACAAACCCCTGTACTTCGCTGACCGGCTGTATGACTCCATGAAGGTAAGGGCAGTTGGCCCGGAGGCCCCATTTTCACTAGGCGCCTCCTCTCTGGCTCAAACTGAATCTTCCTGACTAGTGCTCAGCAGGCTTCCTAATGCTGCAACCCTTTAATAACAGTTTCTCGTGTTGTGGTGACGCCAACCATGAAGTTGTTTGGTTGCCACTTCCTAACTGTACTTTGGCTACTGTTATGAATCGTAATGTAAATATCTGATATGCAGGGTATCTGATATGCAACCCCAAAGAGGTCTCAACCCATAGGTTGAGAACCTCTGGTTTAGAGGAAGTGTTCCTGCTAGCTAGCTGAAATTGTGTTTGTCAGGTGAGAAAGCCCCAATCCATCTTCCCTCAACCCTCTAAGTATGAGCGATGCAGCTCCAGAATGAAGTGGGAAAGGGTTAGGTGACAAAGGTGTCTGATTCCTGCCAAGGGTTTCAGCGATGGCCTCCTGTTATCCCTAGGATAAAAACAAACAGGATGAAAGAGACCGTCAGCAGGTACAATGCAACAGCTTTCCAGTTTCCTCCCTTAAGTCTTGGCGGGAAACCCTGGTTTACCTTCTTGATTATGAAGAGGCGCTCTGGGACCCTCAGCCAGCTTGCAGTCACACAGCAGAGCTAGAGCTGTGTGTTCTTCCTGCATGAAAGGCCCCAGACCAGCCCGTCTCCCATCCCTCACCCCGCCCTGAGTGTTCCACTTTTCAGGCCTCTGCTTTTCCTCTCTGGAGCACCTCCCTTCCCACACCACTCCTGGGGTTCCCTGCCACAGATAATTTCGTCTATGCAGACGGTTCCATGCATTCACACAGGATCATGGAAACGGCATGATTCTGCCTCTTAAGCGTCAGCAACCCTTTGTTGCACATACAAGCTTGCAGGCTGGCCTTTGTGAGCACAGAGCCGACTGGAGAGGTGGCTCAGCAGCGAAGAGCACAGATGGCCCCTGCAGAGGGCCTGAGTTTAGTTCCCAGCATCTACTTTGAGTCACGCATAGGCTCCTGAAGCTTCAGCTACAGGGGACCCGACGCCCTCTTCTGGCCTCTTTGTGCCCCTACATGTACAGATCCAGGGCATCTGACAGAGGGCCACCCCCCTGCCCCAACACATACAAGTTTAAAAAAAAATAGAAAATCAATCTTAAAACACACACACACACACACACACACACACACACACACACACCAGCCAGAAAAATGTAGTAAATGCTTTTTATAATGATAACACTGTCAAGGAAATTAACTCGGACCATCAATTTGACTTTCAGGGCAAGGGGACTCGAGACAAGGTCCTGATTAGGATTATGGTCTCTCGCAGTGAAGTGGACATGTTGAAGATCAGATCTGAATTCAAGAGGAAATATGGCAAGTCCCTGTACTACTATATCCAGGTAAGGCCTGTGGCACTGGGCTTGCTCCAGCAGGCATGGTGTGTGTGTGTCTGTGTGTGTGCGCGCGAGCGCGCAGGTGGCTGGAGAGAACAGTGGCAGAGTGGTGACCTTTCTGTTTTCCCATGTTGTGGAGAATAGACGCTGGGCACCACGAATCGGGGATTTCTATTGAAAGCAATCTCTGTGATTTGTCACGGGCTCTGGAGGTTCCCCAGCAGGATCACACGTTTCCCACATGTGTCACTTGACAGTGGTCATCACCCTGTCACCATCAGACTCGGTGACACTCTGAGACGCTTTGAAGCTCAAAGACATTTTGTGTTCTGTGATACTCCTGCTTCTCGAAGGTCGTCAGAAGGGCCTGACACTCACCACTCCCACCTCTTCAGTCAGCTTAGCGTCTGTGCCTTTTGGAAGGATGGAGTTTCCCAGGGTTCCCACTGTGCTCAGCTCCCACATTTGCTAAGCACTGAGCTAGCATCCACAGCTCTTTAAATCGTGTGTGTGTGTGTGTGTGTGTGTGTGTGTGTGTGTGTGTGTGTGTG